AGCATCAATGGGCTCAAGCATGGCAACAATTGTGGGGTTGGCCCAAGACCGCACAGTGTTTCGTTCTGATCTGCATAAGGTCGCTATGAGTCAGTACTGACTCGATGGCACCTAACAACAACATCATGAGGTTCAAACTCAGCAGTCACTCCTTGGAAACCCTATACAGAGTCACTATGAGTCAGAACTGACTCAACAGCATTTAACAACATAATGGCTGGAACTGTGGTTGCCTTGGCAAAGCAAGACCAGATGTTCCCCACTCCTGCTGTAAGGAGCAGAAAGCTCCATTCTCCCAGAGCAGTTGGTATGCTAAAACTGTCAGTCTTGTGGTTCGAAGTACAGTGTTTATCGTACAGAGCCACCATGCTCCTTATGTAGTGCAGATCCTGTTGTTATTGTAAGGGCTGTCGAGTCAGTTCTGACTGATAGCAACCTTATGAGCAACAGAACCCCCTCCCAATTGTTACTTTTAAGCCGACTGCTGTCACTGTGTCAATCCATCTCTTTGGAGGTCTTCCTCTTTTGCCCTGACCATCTGCTTTACCAAGTATGATGTCTTTATCCAGGGACTGGTCCTTCCTGGTTACTTGTCTTAATTAATAAAGTATGAGAGACGAAGTCTCGCCATCCTGGATTCTAGGAAGCAATCTAGCTGTACTTTTTCTAAGATAGAATTCCTTGTTCTTCGGGGGTCCATGGTACTTTTCATATTCTTCTCCAACACCTTAACTCAAATACACCAATTCTTATACAGTGTCCAACTTCCACATAGGTATGATGTTATTGAAAATTCTATGGCTTGGATGATGTGCACCTTAGTCCTCAAACTGACATCTTTGTTCCTGAACACTTTAAAGAGGTCTTGTGCAGATCTGCCCAATGCAATATATCATTTGAATTTTTTGATGGCTGCTTCCAAGAGTGTTGATTGTGGAGGCAAGCAAAATGAAATTTTTGACAATTTTCATTTCTTCTTCATTTATCATGATATTATTTATTAGTCCAGTTATAAGAATTTTTGTTTTCTTTATATTGAGGGGCAATCTATACTGAATGCTGTAGTCTTCGATCTTTATCATTAAGTATTTTAAGTTCTTTTCACTTTCAGCACGCAAAATTATAACATCTGCATACCGCATGTTGTTAATGTCTTCCTCCAATCTTAATACGACATTCTTCTTCATAAAATCCAGCTTCTCAAATTATTTGCTCAGCGTACAGATTGATTAAGTATGGTGAAAGGATATAAACCTGGTACATACCTTTCCTGATTTTAAACCATTCAGTATTCTTTGTTTTGTTCGAACAACTCCCTCTTGGTCTGTGTACAGCTTCCTCATGAGCACAATGAAGTGTTTACAATGTTATCCATAGTTTGTCACGGTCCAGACAACCGAAAGCCTTTACATAAATAAAGCACAAATAAACATCTTTCTGATCATCTCTGCTTTCAATCAAGATCCATCTGTCAGTAATGATACTCTTGTTCCACATCCTATTCTAAACACACATTAAATTTCTGTCAATTCAGTTTAGGATACACAACATACAAATTTGAAAGAGAAATAAAATTGCTCATTCTAGCAATTAAAAATATGGGTGCATGGATATATGAATTTTTAAAATTATATTAATTTGTCCATGAGATAAAATTTCCAATAAAATATATACACTATTTTTAATAATTATGAAAATGTGTTAATATTTATGTAGTTTGATTATATACTGGTGGGTTTTGTGTGCAATAGCATTGGCTCTAACTCATAGTGATTTCAAATATAGTTTCAGAGGCTATAACTCTTGATGGAAGCAGAAAGCCTCATCTTTCTCAGGAGACGGGTGAATTTGAATGCTGATTGTTAGATTAGCAGCCCAACACAACCCACTATGCAACCAGAACTCAATCATGTACTACTATTCTTATTAAAGTTAGTCCAGAAATAGGGCATTCTGGGCTTCAGTTTCCCAATCTGCAAACTGAGGAGAGTAGTAGTGCCTATCTCGGATGGTTGCTGTGAAGGATGTGTAAGTTAATCATGTAAATTCCCTTCTCACCTTACCTGAAACCAAACCCAACCCAACCCACTGCCATCGAATTGACTTCGACTCATCGTGACCCTGTATAGCATGTCAAAGGCTGCAAATCTTTACCGAGCAAAAAGCCTCATCCCTCTCCAAATTAGCTGGTGGGTTTGAACTAACAATCTTGTGGTTAGCAGTCCAGTGCTTACACTACAGCACCACCAGGGCTCCTTTTACCTGGTGCATAAATTCCGCCATCCCCCCCAAAAAAACCCCACCAGAGTTGCCATTAAGTTGCTTCCCATGATCCATGTGTTTCAGAGCAGAACTGTGCTATGGGTCTCAAGACCGTGGCCTTTCCCATCCAGAGTGCCAGGCCTTTCGTCCTAGGCACCACTACCCTGTCCTGCGCCATCCTCACAATTGTTGTTTGAGGCCCTTGTTGCTGCCACTGTGCTAATCCATCTCTTTTAAGGTCTTCCTTTTTCGATGACTCAGCACCTGACCAAGAACCCTCTACATGGGTTCAAAGGGGCAACCTTTTGGTTAGTAGTGGAGTACCTGCGTGTGCCACCCACAGTTGCTGCTTTCTGACTGTTACTGTTTTCGCAATATGATCAATAGCAAAACTCTTTAAAACTAGACGCCTGGGGTTTGCCTTCACAGATACGGAAGTTAGAACAATCCAGATAGACTCAGAGAGACTGCGGTGAGGGCGAGGGGCGGGAAGAGAAAACTCAGCTGGATGTTGGACTGAGAAAGAAGATTGGAGGGTTTTGAACAAGCGGTGACACGAAGAGATCGCAGAAAAAGTCTGGCTCTTGATTGCTTCGTGCTATCGGGAGCAAGGGTGTCAGGCCGAGACGCCCTCGGGATGGAAAGAAGCCAGTGCCTCGTTGCCCCGTCCGCTTAGACCCGCTGGGAGGACAGCGTTGCTACGGGACCCAAGCCCCGTCCGGTGCCCGGAGGTTGGCGCTGTGTCCCCGCTGCCGCGGCTGCCCGGGCACCACTTCCGGCGCAGCTCAGTTCCGCGTTGGGGCCTGCAGCGGGAGGCTGCGGAAATTGTTCCTTCGCGGCCGCAGTCGTTGGGCGTTCCTTGCTAGTGTCACCGCCTTTCTTCCTTTCCCCCGGTTCCCTTTCACTTCCGGGGCAGCTCTGGGTCCGCTGGTTCCGCAACAACATCCCGTTGGTTTTCTAGTACGGCGGGACCGCTACAGCCGCCTCCCTTCCAGAGCGCCCTTCCGCACGGGTTCGCTACCTCCCCGGCTCCGGCCGCCATGGCCACCAACCCACAGCCGCAACCGCCTCCCCCGGCGCCGCTGCCGCCTCCGCCGCAGCCTCAACCTCCGCCGCCGCCCCCACCGCCCGGCCCGGGGACCGGCCCTGGAGCAGGCGGGGCGGGCGGCGCGGGAGCCGGCGCCGGGGAGCCGCAGCTCGTGGCCATGATCGTGAACCACCTCAAGAGTCAGGGCCTTTTCGACCAGTTCCGCAGGGACTGCCTCGCCGACGTGGACACCAAGGTGCGGGGCGCGCGCGAATTGTGGGCTGCGGACGGGGGACAGGGTCGTCCGCTTTCTCGGCAGCTCCCGCACCCCTCGAGGGTGCCGGGGTCCCGCTACGACGTGCTGGTTGCCGAGTTCCTTCTGCAGCCGCTTCCCCTTTGAGCGCCTACTGTGTGTGCCACACTGTGGCAGGGCTGATCGCGTTCATTCATTCATTTCCTACTTTGCCAGGAGTTGAATCGACTTGTGGTTTTGAAGACCCTATGATGTGCCAGATCCTCTGTGGGGGTTGGGGGGTCGCTGGCGAGCAAGACCAAGTCCGTGTTCTTATGGAGACCGGATTGGAAACACGCACGCAATGCTGGGTTTATTTTTGTATTTCATTCTCATCTCCGATTACTATTTTTCCCGGTTTATGTTGAATTCATATCGTTTTTCCCTTCTCTTCTGAGGAATCTTGGGATGCAGGGGATCCGCCTTTGTTGTGTGGAGCAATCATTAGGTGGCCATTGAATCAGTTGGTCTGCATTGGGCTTCGTGGAATGAGCTGAGATGAGGAAGAAATGGGCGTGGGGCAATCGTAGCTTCAGTTTTATTTCTATCACCGACTGTCTCGTGGAGGTGGCTTAGACCATGCTGCTTGTAGGTAAGGTGAAAGGTAAGGAATCCCTAGCTCAGTGGGAAGAGATTGAGCGAAGTGGTGATGACAGATAGGCAAGTGGAAGAAGGGCAGAAAAGAAGAGTTGCTTCAGAAGAGAGGGGAAGCTCATGAAGAGTTGGGTTAGAAAGAGAAGGGACTTCCTATCAGATGTTAGAGTGACAGGGGCCGAGAACAAGTGCGTTAGGGTGGTGGGGCAAAGTTTGTACAAAGAGCACTGAGAAGGAACCCCTAGTGAGATGGACGGAAAAGCAAGAGTCTGAAATTCTGCCAGCAATGGAAGCAGAACGCACATGGGAAAATTGTTTGGCCTTTGATCTAGTGGGCTCCATCCCATTGGACTTCTGGTGGGATGGAGGTTTTTTCACTCAGCATGCTGGATGTTTTGAGGAACCTTGTGTCATTGGGGGTGTTTGTAGAGGTCGTCAATCTATCTGTTTTCTATAACTGAGTATTCTCCAGGCTTTGAGATAAACTGTACACAGTCCTGCTGTCTACTTTGGGAAGCCATCCTTACCTTTTGAGTCCCAAATGCAATGCCATGGAGTGTATTCCAACTCAGATCAACCCTGCATAAAGTTTCTGACCCTGTAAATCTTGATGAGAGTAGAAAACCTTGTCTTCACCCTGTGGATCGGCTGGTGGGTTTGAACTAGCAGTCTGCAGTTGGTAGTCTGATGCTTACCCTACATTGCCTCCAGGGCACCTTATTAAAGAGACAGGCTCTTATAAAGATTGCTGCTGAGCTCCGTTCATAGACCAGAAGGAGAATGTACCCTTTCAGAGTGTCTGAAATTTTGTAACCTCTGGGAATTGTTTACTTGTTATGTCTAGCCACTTAGGACTATATCACTTTCTTGGTTCATTTTCAAGAATATGTACAGCCGCATTTTTGGGGAATAAAGCCAGTCGTCCCCCCACCTCTGGTAGTGTAATGGTTACTAGTCAGGCTGCTAACCTTAAAGTCAGCTAGTTTGAAACTATCAGTGGTTCCGTGCGAGAAAGATGAGGCTTTCTGCTCATGTAAAGATTTACAGCCTCGGAAACCCTATACAGGGTCGCTATGAGTCGGAACTGACTCCACGGCACCACTCCCCACCCCCACCCGCTATTTTTTAATGGGCTCAGATTGGATTTGGCCGGGTAAAATCTCTGTTTGCCTAAGTAAAGCCAGTTATCAGGCAAACAGAGATTTCCCTTGGTCATCTGTCTTCAGAAACCTACAGATCTGTGTATGATCTTTGTGTGTACAGATAGAAATTTTAAGTATACTGTTTCAGGAACTGCAGTATCTGAAGCTCAACTTTCTCTTCATCGCTAACCCCACTAACTGATATTGTCATGTGTTGGAAATGTCCCTGCCAGACCTCGTAAAGTGAGGCGCTTTCTTTCTTGGCAGGAGAAGTATGATCACAGATGCTTTGATGATCTTAGTTAGAGCCAGGACTTTCTTCTCCCAAGAAAAAAATGCATCTACACCTAAAATGCTGTCCTTATAGTGCAAAAGTAGTTGAGTATGACTCAACCTCATATAGTTCCAGAGAGTTCAGGGGCCATGGAATAATGTGTCGTGTAGTAATGTGTCATTTGTGGGTAGAGAAATGTCGAACTGAAATGACTCTCTCTCTCTCCCAGCAAGAAGGGAGTCCTGGCTACGAGTTGAGTCCCTTCCTGACTCCTCACTCTCTGTGACTCTCTCCTCTCTCCCAGCAAGAAGGGAGCCCTGGCTACGAGCTGAGTTCCTTCCTGACTCCTCACCCTCTGTGTCTACCTCCGTGTTGTTTCTAGTTATCTTCTGTCCCTCTGTGACTCTCTCCTCTCTTCACTGCTGCCTCCCTTTCCGTTATCTGGCAGTTACAGTGCGCTCGCTGTTAGTCTAAGAAATCCATATTAAATAGCATTTGTACTTTTTAAAGTCTGTTTTGTGTTTTGTTGTTTTTTTTAAAGACTAAAGCCAAAGTTTTCTTTCAGACTACCTTAGCATTCGTATCAGTGTGATGGGTGGGCCAGGATAAAAATGTATTCTCCTGGTAATGGACTCCTTGGGTCTCACCTGTATAGAATACTTGTAGTTGAGGCAGCTTATGATATGGTGTTTTTGATTACTGAACGCTGAAGACCGGCCTGCTATGTAACATACAGCAGTACCTGGACTCTGTCAATCACATGCATATTTAAGAATCCGGACATATGATACCAATCAGGTGCTCTCCAAGGGCAAGCCATTCAGTCCTATGTGTTTGAAGCAGACCTGCCAGAGTCTCCTGCCACTCCAGAAGTTCATGTAGCTGTGAGGTGCTGTTGAGTCGATTACAACTCATAGTGACCCCAAGTGGCACAGCAGAACTGCTCCATAGGGTGTTCTGGGCTGTAATCTTTACAAAAGCAGATCACCAAGTCTTGTTCCCATGAGGCTGCTGGATACATTCAAAATTCAGCTGAGCAACTTCACCAGTGCTCCACCAAGCCTCCTTCTAGAGGGTCTTACCCATAGCTGTCAAGGCGACTCTGGCTTATAGCAACCCTACAGGACAGGGTAGAACAACCCCATTGAGTTTCCAAGGCTACAAATCTATACAGACGCTAACTGCTACATCTTTCTCCTATAGAGCAGCTGGTGGGTTTGAACCACTAACTTTTTGGTTAGAAGTTGAGCTCTTTAACCCCTGTGCTACCATGGCTCCTCCTTTGTCGCTATTGTTGATAAGTGCCGTTGAGTTGGTTCCAACCCATAGCGATTCTGTATCGGGTTTCCAAGGAGCAGCTGGTGAGCTTGAACCGGCGACCTTGTGGTTCTAACTGACTTTGCAGTCCAGTGCATTAGCCAACAGCACCACACCAAGACTCCTGGCTCCTTTAGAAACCCATATAAACCTCCACTGTAGGTTCTTTGCTCTGGTAGCATAGTGGTTGCGAATCGGGCTGCGAACCTTAAGGTCAGCGGTTCGAAACTACCAGCCGCTCCGCGGGAGAAAGATGAGGCTTTCTACTCCCGTAAAGATTTACACCCTCGGAAACCCTGTACAGGGTCGCTATGGGTCGGAACCGACTCGACGGCACTTAACAACAACAACAACAACGTAGGTTCCTTGCTAATCCTTAACCAACAAGAGAAAGATCTGAAGCTGGCTGACGGAATGAGCCACAGAACTGGCACCTTGGATAGCTCCAAGGGCCATCTGAGGCAGAGGTTCCTCATGGTAGACTTCCAGCTCCCAGAATCCAAGCACTGCACCATTCTTGCCCTGGGGCAATGGGCAGAGTCTGGAAGGAGAGGGAGGAAATGTAGGGAGTGCACTGACCCAAGAAATGTAGCTCTGCTCTCCCTCAGGAGGCCCGTTTCCAGACACATTCTCACTCATACTGTTATGGAGCGCATATCCCAGCAGGGGAGCACAGGCAAAAAAACAAATGCCACTGTCAGGTAGAGGGTCACGGGTGCAGTACAGTGCTTACAGCTCTTGGCTGCTAACCTAACCCAAAGGTCAGCAGTTCCAGCCCACCAGCCACTCCACAGGAGAAAGATGTACAGTCAGTAAAGATGGATTCTTTTGGAAACTCCATGGAGTAGTCCTCATCTGTCATCTAGAGTTTTTATGCGTCAGAATCGACTCAATGGCAGGGAGTTTGGGGGGGATATCAAAGAGGGATCATTTTTATGAAAAAAAAAAAGGAGGATAAGGAGCAGAAAGAGTTGTGATTTTGTTTTGTTTGTTTTATTTGTGCAACTCATGGGGGCCTGAGCATTCCAAATAGAGACCACAGCAGGTGCCCCAGTCCCCGCAGGGGAGCCCTCTTGGGGAGACCACGGTGGGACTGTGGTGGAAGGGGGGGGTGGGCTGGCATGCTTGCGCTCTCTGCAAGAGCAGACAGGCCGTGCATGCAAGCTTTACTTGGAAGCAGGGATCTGATGTCTGTTTCTAGATGGGTTGGCCATCAGAATTAATGGTGTCTCCTATCATGCTCAAGGAGCCATGGTGGCCCTGCGAGCTAGGTGTTGGGCAGCTGACCACAATGTCGGTGGTTCAAACTCACTAGCTGCTCCAAGGGAGAACGAAGAGTCTTCACTCCTGTAAAGATTTACAGTCTCGGAGATCTTCTAGAGTATCTCTGTGAGTCAGAATGGACCCGATGGCAGTGGGTTTGGTTTGGGGTTTTCATGCTCAGTCGTGATCATGTTTGGACAGTCGTTCTATGTTGTTGATAATGCCATCGAGTTGGTTCTGACCGATAGCAACCCTGTATAGGATTTCCAAGAAGCAGCTGGTGAGCTAAAACCACCAACCTTGCAGTTCAAATGACTTTTCAGTCTGACGCATTAGCCAACAGCACCACACCAGGACTTAGTCTACGGTGACCCTAATTTCAGAGTTTCTTTCTGGCTGGTCTGTGGAAACTAGGCTTCCAGTGGACAAGGGTGAAAGCAGGGAGAGCAGGTTCTGGAGCCTAGACAGGAGATGGGTGTGGTCTTAGGAAGTGGTCCATCTTTTGAAGTTAGTGCTGACAGCTTGCTCGTGGTTATGTAGAGTAATGAAGGAGAAAGAGAGAGTCCAGGATGAGCCCAAGCTTTTCACCAGAGCACAGGGTAAGTAAGGGAGACGGTACAGTGAAACCTGGGATGGCGCTGTAGGATAAGCACTGGACTGCTAACTGCTGGGTTGGCAGTTCAAATCCTATACAGGGTCACTGTGAGTCTGAACAAACTCGACAGCACTTATCAACAACAGTAAATCCTGTAACCACCTGTGTAAGGCAAAATCTGTCAGAGAAGGAAAATAGAAACATTTCCAACTAATAGCAATAGAAAAGTAGTAAGACTGCACCCTGTAGAAGGTGAAGATCTTGGGAGACACAGAGAAACAAGGTCGTTCCAGCACTCCCAAGTTTACTGTGTGCGTGTATGTATTCCTAGATGAACACTAAAATTTAGAGTCCTCTAGTCACTAGGCTTTCTACTGACGGGGTACTGAAAGAAAGGGGGGCTGCCGGTGGGGCAGATCACATTAAACTTGTTATGAGGGGACTAGTATGCTAAGGGCCCAATAGATGCTTGTTAGGATTTGGGATATTAGAAAGGAAATTATGTTTTAGAGGCAGTGGGGAAAAACAGCTCATTTTCGTTTTACACTGGCTTTGGATAAATACAGAGGAACCTCAGAAGTGATCATGAGACCATTTCTAGTAGAATAGAAAATAGATATCAACACAAGTCTGAACACTGGCAACAGTGACAGGAAATCCTGCAGGGAAGGAGAAAGCTGTTAGCGTTTGTTTTTGAGAGAGTTACCTAGTCACCTACCAGCTGTTTTCATTACTTATCTGCCAAGCATTGTGTTAGGAGGTGTGAAAACAAAGGTGAAGTTAGCGGTTTACACTTCAGTGGGGAGATAGCTATGTCCCCCTCCCCAAAATACTATCCAAAAGTTGCTGTAGTGGTAGTATGTGTAAGAGACAGTCCATCTCCTAGTCTGTCAATTGGTTGTGTTGACTTGTGTGTTGCTACGATGCTGAAAGCTTTGCCAACAATAGTTCAAATACCAGCAGGGTCACTCATGTTGGATAGGTGTCAGCAGAGTTTCCAAACTAAGACTAGGAAGAAAGGCCTGGCTCCCCACTTCCAAAGACTACCCATGAAACCCTGTGGAGCACCACAGAATAGAGTGCATGTAGTGTAGGGCTGTCAGATGAGCCCCTTCATTTGGAAGACACTATATTTTCGCCACAGCAGTGGACTCAGGCAGTCCATGTGTTAAAGCACAGGACAACTCAGTGGGAAAAACGGAGAGTTGTAGCCCTGGTTAGGTTGAGCCTGAAGGTGAGAAGTTTGTCAGATGGACAAGTAGAGGCACTAGAAGGGCTGAAACCTTTCAAAGGCATAAAAGCGGATCGCTGAGTAGGACATACTTTGAAGGGCACAGAGGGCAAATGGCAGAGGAGGAGGCTGTCCGGTTGGAATCACTGTGACTACCTGTGGGAATGGGATGTGCATTCCAGAGTGAGTGGTCCAGCCGTGCTTCTAGGCCATGTCCTGTCTGGTAGTGATGGCCGCCTGGCTGTCCTCTCTTGCCCTGCCCTCTTTTTGTCGGGGTTTTCAGCCAGAGCTGACATCTTAGGTCAGTGTGCTGCTTCCTTGATAGTTGCGGGGCTGCCCTGTGCCCAGCATCCCTAGCCACAGCCTGCTAGATGCCAGTAGCTCTCCCTCCCCCCTTAATTGTGATGACCCAGACATTGCCTCTTAAGAAGAGGAAAGTTGCTCCTGATTACAAACCACGGCCTAACATCAAATGTAACTGTTTGGGACATCGTTCCCACCATCATTTCTCATGGCTCCATGCTTTTCCTCCCGTTATACACCCCAGTATGGATCATCATCACAGTAGCTGTCCTATGCTTTACTAAGTATATTTGGGAGTCTCTAGGACTCCTGGTTTGGTGCTGTAGGATAAGCACTAGGCTGCTAACCACAAGGTCAGTGGTTCAAACCCACCAGCTGCTCCTTTGAAACCCTATGTAGGGTCAGTACGATTTGGAACTAACTCCAAGGCACTTAACTAACAACAACAACAACAACAACAAAGGTGGTACAAATAGTAAAGCACTCAGCTGAAAATTATAAAGGTGATGGTTCAAATCCACCCAGAGGCCCTTTGGAAAAAAGGCCTGGCAATATACTTCCAAAAGATCACAGAAAACACTGTAGGGTGCAAGTCTCCTCTGAAACACCTGGGGTTGATGTGAGTCGAAATTGACTTGACAGCAACTGGTGGTTGATTAAGTGTATGTATTTTATCTGTGTACTCTTTCACTGTAGGAAGATTAATTATCAGAAAGTGCAACCATCACTTCTGTTCCTGTGTACAGTGGGTTCCCCTTCTCTGCCCATTAATTGTAAACTGCTGCACATTCCCCAAACCCTCCGCCACCTGGTCCCAACACTTGTCTCTTCTTGTTTATAGCCTGGTCTCCAGCCTGACTGAACTACCAAACTTAGATGTTCTCAGGGGCCCCTACCTGCACGTATTCTCATCCACTTGATCTTTGTTTGTATTCGTTTCTGTACCTACAGTGCTCACCATCCCATTCCCAGAACGTCGCTAAACCCTGAAGGTTGCACTTGATTGCCACTTTCTGCGTGAAGCCTTGCTTCCTCTCCCCTCCCTTCTTTGCTCCAAAGCACGGTAACATTTATTTGTGTCTTTTTTCTAGTCCTTTGTGTACAAGTAAGTAATGTGCCATCTGTTTGTTCCTCATACCTCCAAACACCTTGTTTTAGACAAAGTAAGCAGTATTTAAGTGAGTATAGGAGTCCTGGTGTGGTGCTGTGGGTTAATGCACCAGACTGCAAAGCCTTTTGAACTTCAATGTTAGCAGTTCAAGCTCACCTGCTGTTCCTCGGAAACCCTATACAGGGTCGCTATGGGTCTGAATCAACTCAACAGCACTTTACGGCAACAACAAGTGAGTATAAGTTATCTTGACATAGCATTGTCATCTACCGTGAAACTTTGTTGCCACATTGATACAGGTATCAAGGAAATGTTAGCATCATTAAACACACACAAGTCCCTGAGATTGTCAATACTATGTAGCATTCGAGATTTTTAACATTTGAATTTTTGTGTTTTCTCTTTAGCCCGCCTATCAGAACCTGAGACAACGTGTTGACAACTTTGTGGCAAACCACTTAGCAACTCATACATGGAGTCCTCATCTCAATAAGAACCAGCTCAGAAACAATATCAGACAGCAAGTCCTCAAGTAAGTCTCGGAGTTCCCTGGGCACGTTTTAAAATGGTGCCGCCTTGTTGTTGTTGTTAAGTACCGTGGAGTCGGTTCCTATTCATAGTGACCCTGCACAGGGTTTCCGAGGCTATAAATCTTTACAGGAGCAGAGTACCTCATATTTCTCCCGCAGAACTGCTGGTAGTTTCAAACTGCTAACCTTGAGGTTGGCAGCCCAACTTGTAACCACTACGCTCCCAGAGCTCCTTATGATACCGTCTACTCTGCCTAAAAGGAGAGATGCCACATAGAAGTCTGTTCACTAAGGACGTGGCATTTCTGTCAGATTTGGTGTCACTGCTCCGTGTGATGCAGCCTCCTTTTGGGGTGTGCTCTCATCACTCCACAGCCTGCTACCAAATTTTAACAAATTATCCCGTGGGGAAATTTTCTTTGTACAGTTGACCGTTGAAGAACACAAGGGTTCAGGGTTAAGGACGCTGTCCCTTCACACACATGTGCTCCAGAATCCCTGTATAACTTTAGACGTCCCAGGACTTCACAGTTGACAGGAAGCCTTACCAATAACACAGACCATCGAGTAACACTGTTTCATATGTTACATGTATCGTAGACTGCACTCTCATAAAAGCTACATCTCAATACTGGCTAAGAAGGTGTTTCGTAAGAAGTGCAAGGTTTTCACACCTGCTGGCACAGCTACAGTGACGGCTTCACAAATTTCTTTTTCTTGTTTTTACAACGATCCTCATGCTGGATTTATCTTGAAATGGCGAGCACCCACACTGCAGACCTCCGTCTATGGTACATATCCGACTTTGTTGTTGTTGTTACCAGGTGCTATCAAGTCAGTACCGACTCATAGTGTCCCTCCGCCCAACAGAATGAAACACTGTCCTGCGCTAACTTCACAATCTTTGCTATGTCTAAGTCTGTTGCTGCTGCTGCTGTACCACTCCATCTCACTGGAAGTCGTCCTCTCTTTCTCCGACCCTCCACCGTACCAAGCATGATGTCTTTCTCCAGGGACTGCTCCCTCCTGACAATATGTCCAGAGTAGGAGAGACTTAAGTCTGGCCGTCCTGTCTTCCACGGAGCATTCTGGCTTTTTCCGTCATAGATTTGTTGGTTCTTTTTGCAGTCCACGGTACTTTTACTATTCTTCTCCAAAGCCATAACTCAAATGCATCAATTCTTCTTGGTGGTCTTCCTTATTCACTGTCCAGCTTTCACATGCATATGAGGTTATTAGAAATACCATGGCTTGGCCTTCAGTATAGGTTGCACCTCCATGTAAAGGAAACAAAAATCCTTGCCACTGAATCAATAAATAAAATATAGATAAATTGAGAAAAGATCGAAGTTGTCAAAGCTTCATTTTGCCAGGATCAACCATGGAACATTTTTTCGGATTAACACTCATGAAAGCAGCAGTCAAGAAATGAAATGACATTTTACACTAGGCAGATCTGCTACACAAGACCTCTTTAAAATGTTCAGAAGCAAAGATGTCAGTTTGAGGATTAAGGTGCACCTAACCCAAGCCATGGTTTTCACTAACACACCAGGCAGTTCAGCACTTTCCTCTACTGTCATGGATTTTCTTTGCTTCTTGGAAGCACTTCCAGCGACACTGGTGGCACTTCATATGGGCCCCATGGTGGTTTTCATGGTTTCCAGTATTGCACTAACATGATGAAAATGTCACGAGGACTACAGAAGATCTGTTTTTACTGCGGTACGCTATTTAGTGCTCGAGCATGTGGCGAAGATTCGCATCACACAGAGGTTTGTTTTGTTTTTTCATTCACACGTAAGTGGACACTTGCAGTTCAAACCCATGTTGTTCAAAGGTCAACAGTAAATATCTGAAGGGACAAGAAAGAAAGTCTTTAAAAAATAAATAAATAAATAAAACCTAGATTTAGATGATAAAGGAGTTGTGGTGGCTCTGTAGGATCAGCATGGGACTGCTAACCAAAAGGTCAGCATTTCGAGCCCACCAGCAGCTCCAAGGGAGAAAGATGAAATTTTCTGGTCCCACAAAGATTTAAAGCCTCAGAAAACTTTTACAGGGTCACTGTGAGTTGGAATCAACTTGAAGACACTTGACAACAACATAGATGAGAAAGGCAATGATACCCTACAGAGTTACAGTCACAACTCTTAATCCTAAAAAAGCAGGTTTATTATTCCTTTTGACAGATAAGGACATTAAACATCACTGAAATAAAACTCTCTTCCCTTAATTTGAGTCCAGGTTCTCTGTTTTCTAAGATAGCTTTTACTTACTTGTTGTCACTTTACTGTGAGTTTTGCCCTGCTCTGTAGTGATGATGCAGCCAAAACCAGAAGGATATTGGGGTGAATATCAGATAAAAAGAGATGGACTGTGTAGAGGAGTCACACCAACTTGACAGCAGCTCAGATTTATACTCTTACACTTCATCGTGAATGCCCCTATTCGCTAAGACGTAAAGACTTGGCCCTTTCTGTGCTTTTCATGCCCCTAAGAGTGGCCGAGTTATTTAAAAAGTGCCTAGTCTTCCTGCCTTGACAGAGATTTACTTCAGTCTTTGAGAATGACATGTAGTTTTTAAACAGTGAAACCACCGATTCCTTCCTGATCACTGGAACCTTTCACACAATCCTAATGAGCTTCTGCCTTGATTGCCCTGACCTACAGGAAGCCCCACAACTAAAAATCTTCACCCTGACTACAAGGTGAACCCAGTTAGCTGTGGGTAATACAAGAAGCCAGGAGCCCGGTGAACGAGAGGGAGGGGAGACTTACCAACAGCTGTACTGTCTACAGTTTAAAGGACGTTTGAGCAACCTGTAAGAGTCCAGCTAAGAAACAGATGCCATTAGAGTATATCTGTTGGGGGAGAGTCAAAGCTGTTTCCAGAAATAGAAGAGACAGAAGAGGTCCATGGATGACAGGCCCTCGTGCTGCTCATTTTCAGCTGGGCCTTCAGAACAATCACTGGAGGAGTTCCTGGACGTTGGGGAGGGAGATGCTGGCTCTGCTGGCTCCCAAGTGCTTCCATAGCTGCCGCCTCCTCACACTCAATCGCACTGTGTAAAAGCAGGCTTTAGGGAGTCCCACGTTCTTCTTAGGAGCTCTGTGGGCAAAGCATTGGGTTGCTAACCCGGGGTTGGTGAGTCATACTAACCAGCCTCTCCTGGGGAGAAAGTTTGGAGTTTCAGAAATCCTAAGGAGCAGTTCCCCTCTGTCCTATCTAGGTCTCTGAGTCAGAATCCACTTCATGGCAGTGTGTTTACATTTGGTTTGACCTTTTCTGCCTGTGTTGAGGGGCTAAAATGGCAGACAAACTTGCTGGCATTTCGTTTATCCCGCAAACTCTGTCTGTAAGGGAAGCAGCCATTTATCCTGTTCTTTTATTTAAGGGAACTTAAGTCAATATGGACCCCATGTAACAGAGAAGAAGTGCTGCCCCAGGGTTCCCTGGTGTCTGATCTTTACAAGAGCAGATCACCAGGTCTGTAGCTCATGGAGCCATGGGGTGAGATCCAACCAACAGCCTTTTGGTTAGCAGCTGATTGCTTAACTGTTACAGCACCAGGGCTCCTTAAACGGAATATGTTGTTCAGTTGGTCATTGAGTTGGTGCCGCATGTTGTTGTTGTTAGGTGTCGTCAAGTTGATGCAGACTCATAGTGACCTTATGCCCAACAGAACGAAACACTCCTGGGTCCTGTGCCAACCTCACAATCATTGCTACATATGAGCCCATTGCTGCTGCCACTGTGCCAATCCATCTCACGGGGCTCTTCCTCTTTTTCTCTGACCCTCCACTTTACGAAACACGATATCCTTCCCCAGTGACTGGCCAGTCTGACTTCCAAGGAGCACTCTGGCTGCACTTCTTCCAACACAGATCTGTTGGTTCTTTCGGTAGTCCATGGTACTTTCAGTATTCTCCAACATCATAACTCAAATGCATCAATTCTACGATCTTCTTTATTCACTGTCCAACTTTCACTTATTGTTAAATGCTGTCTAGTTGGTTCTGACCCATAGTGACCCAAGATAGGATTTTTGTGGAGCCACTGGGTGGGTTTGAACTGCTGAGTTTGTGGTTCGCAGTCCAGTGCTGATCCACACTAGAAGTCACTTACGTATGAGGTTATTAAAAATATCGTGCTTGGGTCAGGCACACCTTAATCCTCAAACTCAAATCCTTGCTCTCAAACACTAAAGGTCTTGTGTAGCAGATTTGCCTAATGCAATACATCGTTTGATTTCTTAACTGCTTCCATGAGTGTTGATGATTGATCTGAGCAAAATGAAGTTTTGACAACTTCAATCTTTTCTCCATTTATTTGGATGTTGTTTATTAGTCCCATGGTGAGGATTTTTGTTTTCTTTACATTGAGATGCAGCACATACTGACGGCTGTGGACTTTGATGTTCATCAGTATTTTAAGACCTTTTAGCTTTCAGCAAGCAAGGTTGTATCATCTGTATATTGTAGGTTGTTAATGAGTCTTCCTCCCATCCTGATGCCATATCCTTCGTCATATAATCCAGCTTTTCTCATTATTTGCTCAGTATACCTGTTGAATAAGTATGGTGAAAGAATACAACCCTGATGTACACCTTTCCTAGTTTTAAACCGTTCGGTGTAACTGTGTCCTGTTCGAACAACTGTCTCTTGGTCTTTGTACAGGTTCATCATGAGTACAATTAAGTGTTCCGGAATAATCATTCTTCGAAATGTCTGTAACGTATTGTGATTCACACAATCGAAAGCCTTTTCATAGTCAATAAAACACAGGTAAACATCTTTCTGGTATTCTTTGCTTTCAGCCAAGATCCATCTGATGTCAGCAAGGATATCCCTCATTCCACATCCTCTTCTGAATCCGGCTTGATCCTCTGGAAGTTCTCTGTCAATGTATGTTTGTAGCCGTTTTTGAATAATCTTTAGCACAATTTTACTTGCATGTGATATTAATGGTATTTTCCTATTTGTTCATTCCATTGGGTCGTGTCTCTTTAGAATGGGCACAGATATGGCTCTCTTGCAGTCAGTTGGCCAGACAACTGTCTTCCACATTTCTTGGCATAGATGAGTGAGTGCCTCCTGTGCGTCTTCAGTTTGTTGGAAGATTTCAATTTGTATTCCATCAATTCCGGAACCTTGTTCTTGGCCAATTCTTAAAATGCACCTTCGACTTCTTCCTTCAGAATCATTAGTTCTTGATCATATGCTACCTCTTGAAAGGGTTGAACATCAACCATTTCCTTTTGGTACAGTGACTCTGTGTATTCCTTTCATCTTTGTTTGATGCTTCATCATTCAATAATTTGCCCATGGAATCTTTCTGTATTGCAAGTAAAGGCTTGAATATTTTCTTCAGTTCCCTCGGCTTGAGAAATGCTGAGTATGTTCTTACTTTTTTATTTTCTAACTCCGGGTCTTTCCACATTTCCTTATAATGTTTCACTTTGATTTCTTGAGCTGACATTTGAAATTTTCTATTCAGCTCTTTTACAGTTCCTTATAATGACCCTATCGATATAGGGTTTCCAGGAAGTGACTGGTAAGCCTGAACTGCTAACCCTATAGTTCAAACTGACCTTGCAGTCCAGTGCTTATCCTACCACACCACACCAGGACTCCCTAAATTGAACATAACTCTATAGAAACTAAGTTGTAACAACTCTAGGTGTACAAATATAAAACTTAGCTAATGCAAAAGTGTGTGGTTCTTAGATGGCTTGCCTGACATGTTGACTGGGTGGGGGGAGGGGAGCTTGTTGTGACTAAATACTGGGCATTCTCTGGGAAATGAGGAATCCCCTCCTGAGGCATTTAAAGACATGAAAAGTAGCTGTTTCTGGTCTCTTGTTGTTGTTAGATGCCATCAAGTCAGTATCAATTCATAGCAACCTTATGCACAGCAGAACGAAACACTGCCCAGTCCTGGACCAGCCTCACTATTGTCTCCACGCTTGAGTCCATCGATGCTGCCATTTGGCCAGTCCATCTCGTTGGGGGTCTTCCTGTTTTTCTCTGACCCTCCATCTTACCAAACATGATATCCTTCTCCAGTGACTGGTCCCTCCTGACAATATGTCCGAAGTAGGAGAAACGAAGTTCGGCCATCTTGGCCTCCAAGGAGAACTCTGGCCGCACTTTCCAGTTACTGTTATTCCTAGGTGTGTGTCAGTTCTCTTGCCACTGTGTTTTATTGTTTTTTTAAAGAAACTATTATCTTTTCCAGTTTTGTGCTGCTCCCAATAACATCTTAAAGCTTCCTCCAAGAAAGAGACTGGTTGGGTTTAAAGTGGTGGTGTCGAGCGATTGGTTTGTCATCCAGCGGAGTCTTAACTCCTAGCTCCTTATAAACACAATTTCACTTTCTCTACATAGCATTTGAAATATAATAAATTGACTCTCGTAGGCTAGAGTATATGAAATTGCCATTTTTCTAGGACAAAAATGGCCTGATACCAACAATTTCTGATGGCTCAACATAGTAACCAATCTTCTGACTCAGTAGGGAAGAAATTGTAGTCTGTGTTTTCAGTCACACAACAGAGTCTGGTAGCTTGGAATAATGATCTTAACTGAACAGACTATAAATCGAAGACAAGAAAATTACTTCAACCAGAAAAATGCCTGCTACTCTCATTTTAAAGAGATCCCTGGCAGCACAATGGGTTAAGCATTGGGCTGCAAACTGAGAGGTCAGTGGTTTGAACCTGCCAGCTGCGTCACAGGAGAGAAATGTGGTCGTCAGCTTCTGTGAAGATGTCTAGCCTTGGCAGTCCTGTGGGGCTGTTCTGCTCAGCCCTGTCTGACTGCTGTGAGTCAGAATCGACTCGCCAGCACTGGGTTTCATTCTCATTTGAGCTGGGCCTTTGGAGTTGGGGCAACTAGAGCCAGGCCTCAGGCAGTGAACGTATTAAGAACCATGTGCTGATTTATTAGCTGGGCCTCTATTTTTCTTTAAGATGGGAGCTGAGTACTGTGTGAGGGGAGAGTGAAGTAGGAGTGATTCTTTGCAGGAGACCAACCAGAACACAAAGAGACAAACACTCACTTGGGGGAGGGAGGTGGTTTGGTATCTTTTTTTTTTCTTACTGCCTTTGTGCATGTCTCTTAAAACATTTCTGAGATTTTTCTTTTCCTTCCGGTTTCTTTTCCACTGATTATATTTTAAAGACACCTCTAAGAAGTAACAGTGTTGGCAGGATTTGCTTTTTTAAAATTTTCGTTTCATCTTCAAACTTCCCAAAGCAGGTAACCTAGTTTGTGGTGAATTGACTCATTTTTCTCTATGGCCCACTTAAGTAGAATTCTAATATCACAAGACTGCAGGGTGCCTCAGGAGGTGAAAATCGAATCCCTCCTCCACTCCAGGCAGACCTGCCCCAAAACAAGCCTGTGAAGGGTCAGGAGAGTGGCCGCCTCAGCAGTTCCTCCCAGAAGTGCTGTGGCCTCGCTCCTCACTCTCCGCACCCTGGCCAGGTCTCTCTAGGAGGAAACAAGCGTTTGTTGTGCTCTTCTCTTCTGTTCCCTCGACTCTGATTTCCTGCACATTGCAGACATTGCTCTCCTCTGCTCTTCTGACCTTGTGTTTGCTATTTAACCAGGAGCACCTTTGTGCCCTTCTCTTCTGGGAATTCTAAATCCAACCAGCCTGCTTCCTCCTCTCTGGCAGATTAGAGCATCCCGAGTGCTCTGACACATTACATCTATCTTTTCCTCTACTCACAAGGACGCACTAGTGCCCGTTGCCTTTTATTTTAATTTCATGGTTGGTGTTGACTTCCCCACCAGAGCAGGGAACCAGTTTGATTTATAGAAATCCTGGTGGGCAGCATGGTGCTTGCTTTGTAAAAACCACTCGTAACAGAATTGTTGAATGAATAAATCGTCCAGCTTTTATAATAAAAGGAAAGCCTGAAGTCTTAAGGTTCATCTTTCTTTCCCTGAAGCTTTCATTTATCATTTATTTAATTTAGTGTGATGAAATTGCATTTTGTGCTCTTTAGTTTTTCTACAGACTCTGATGCTATATATTAAAAAAAGGCATATCTTTTTCAGTTTTAACAAAGTTACAGAGTCCATCGATTGATTTCAGCCTTTGTGTTAGTTTGTCCCTATATGCCACCTGCAGCACTGGGGTGAGCTGGCACGACAGCTGTACGGGGCCTCTAGATACTATGCTGAGTCTAGCTCAAAGGGTATTTTCTGTTTGTTTGTTTGTTTTGTTTTATGCATTTTCATAGTTTTACCACACAGTGGTAGAAAGCTTGAAGATTTTGGGGGTATGTTGTTGTTGCTGTTAGATGCTATCAAGTCAGAGCTGACTCATAGCGACCCTGTGCACACAGACCGACCCTCTGCCTGGTTGTGTACCATCCTCACACTGGGGGTGTGTTTGAGCCCGCTGTTGCTGTCACCAACATCATGTCAACCCATCTCCTTGGGGGCTTCCTTTGTCTGTTCTGCTGATCCCCCCCCCACTTTGCCAAGCATTATGTCCTTCCTCAGGGATTCCTGCCGCCAAACAACATGTCCAAAGTACAATAGGTAAAGTCTCGTCATCCTCGTTTCAGGTATTCTGCGTTTCAGGTATTTCTTCCAAGACAGATTTGTTCATTCTTCTGATAGTCCATAGTTAGTATCTAGCTAAATGCCTCAACAGCACAAAACTTATTTTCCATTGCATTTTAAAGTATTTCATATAAGTAATTTTCGGTTGTTTTTCCACCTTTCAATTTTCCTTCATTTCAGATCAGGAATGCTGGAGTCTGGTATCGACCGAATCATTTCTCAGGTTGTGGATCCAAAGATCAATCACACATTCCGACCTCAGGTGGAGAAAGCTGTGCACGAGTTTTTGGCCTCATTGAATCACAAAGAGGAGGCAAGTGGCAGCGCAATTCCCGATGATGAGAAGCCAGACTCATCCGTCATTACACCAGGTGCTTTGCTTTTCCTCGTGGTCAGTTCCGTTACTGTTTTCCTTTCAGCGGGGTCTCAAGTTAGGGGTATCGGCTTGATTCCTTAACCATGTCTTCATTTGCTGTCACGTGACATGATGCTTACTGTCAGTGTCACCCAGATTCCTGAACTGGCATGTCACCTTATTTTATAGTAATATAAGTAATAAACATTTTAATAATGGCTGCATGTGTCTTGTGTGTATGTTTGTGGTTTTACAGAGGTGGTAATTAAAATCATGAGGGAAGAGATTGTCTTTCTGGGTACTAGACTAACACTTCTCTGTTTTGCATAACACTTTTCCTAAGATACTGTTTAGACAGGTAGAGAATTTAGACTATATTACGACCTGGCACTTGTGCCTACAAGTGTGCAGGAATGTGAATGATGAGTATCGCTGAAAACAGTCGTGCCTTGTAACTTGAGTGCTGCACAGGTGTTTGCCTTCTCCTCACATTTATTCTAAAACTTGTCTTTCCCTCTCAGGGGTCCCTGCTCCTGGACCCAGTGCGAACGTAGCCAACGATGCCATGTCAATCTTGGAAACCATAACATCCCTCAACCAAGAAGCTAGTGCAGCCAGGGCCTCCACCGAAACTTCAAGTGCGAAGGCCAGTGAGAGAGCCTTCAAAAAGCTCTCTTCTCAAGCCAGCGCCGACGCTAACATTGAAAAAGAGAAGGCGTCAGAAGACACAGTGGATAAAGACAAGTCCCCCCCCGACTCTGCAGGGGATGCACTGGAAGTGACCCCAAAAGCCGAGGACTCAAATGACCTCCTTGGTCCAGTTGAAGACATTAAAATGTGCACAAAAGAGAGTAATAGCTTCACCCTTGTCAGTAAGGAAGTTCAACAGGAAAGTAGTGACCCAAAAAATAAGTCCACGGACAAAAGTGAAAAGAAAGCTGATAGCAATGAAAAAGGAGAGCGGAAAAAAGAGAAGAAGGAGAAGACTGAGAAGAAATTGGATCACTCCAAAAGGAGTGAAGAGACACAAAAAGTAAAAGATGAAAAACAAGGGAAGGAAAAAGAAGCTGAGAGTTCAAAAGTCCCTTCAGAAAAGAGCAATCCTAAAGCTAAGACCATTGACGGAACTAAAGAAGGTACACTGAAAAACTTAGCTGAACGGGCAAAGGGTGGCAATTAGCAGAGATATCTGGTATTTGCTTGTCATCAAATTTTAATCCATACGTGTGGTATAATTTCAAAACTGTGCTACAAAAGAACAGTAAACAGTTGTGTATTTCTCTTCTCCGTTGATGTACCAGTTCACAAAGTGAATGAATGGAGAGGCTCCAAACTTTTCATTTAAGTCTTCCAACTTATTCTCATGCATTCTTCCACACAGGTTAATCTGTAGTTGTACAGTTAACTGCAGAATTCAGAACCTGTGTAAAGTAGAAATCTGTCAGACACAGGAAAGCTCAAGTAGTTTCCCCTAACAGAAGGTGGTAGAACCATGCCGAGACCACATACTGTCAAAGGCAGACCCCCCAAAACAAGGCAGTCCCATCGAGTTACAGCTCTCACAGATTTTACTGTATATCCTGTTCTTCAGACTATTGTTATCCGTTGCCATCGGACAGTTCTGACTCAGAGCATCCCTGTATAGGGTGTCTGAGGAGCAGCTGGTGGGTTTGAACCATTGACCTTACGGTTCTCAGTCTAGTGGTTATCCTATAACATCACACCAGAAGTCTTTAAACTGTTAGATAGTAAATATTTTGCTTACTCAAAATGTGCTTTTGTTTACAGTGCTTCCATCTTAAATTTGTTGTTAAGTGCCATCAAGTTCGTTCCAACTCATAGTGACCCTGTGTAGGGTTTCCAAGGAGCATATTTTCAGGATACCAATATACCCTGGAAATATAACTAAACTAGTAAGATGGAAGTACTATCCTACAGTGCTAAGAGTCCTGGTGTGGCACTGTAGGAGATGAACTAGACTGCTAACTATGAAGTCAGCGGTTCAAACCCACCAGCTACTCCTCGGAAACCCTATACAGGGTCACTGTGAGTTGGAACTGACTCAGTGGCACTTAAAAACAGTAACAGTATACCTTTGGGAAGTGCAGTGATTCTAGAATAAGCACTGGCCTGTGAAACACAACATCAGTGGTCCAAGTCCATCAGCCATTCTAATGGAGAAACGGGAAGCTTTCTGCTCTGACAAAAGATTTACAATCCTGAAAACCCTATACAGGTCACTAAGTCGGAACATAACAACAATATACTTTAAGGCTCCCTGGTCGCATAGTGGGCCAAGCATTGGGCTGCTAACTGCATTGTCAGTTCAAACCCACTAGCTATCTGCTCCTGTAAATGTGTACAGTCTTGGCAATCTAAAGCAGCCGTTCAATTTTGCCCTCTCAGGTTGCTGTGAGTTGGAATCAGCTTGATGGTTGTGAGGTTTTTAGTGGAATATATCTTTGTATTTTCTGGAAATAGCTCTACATTATTTGATAACTAGCTGATAAGAGAATGTTTTCATTTATTTCTAAAGTTGAATCTCTGACATGTACTTTAAGCGGAAACTGTTCTGACTCTGTTCTCACACGTTCCTTTACTTTGTGTTTGGTTTTATTCCTGAAGATTGCTCTCTGGTAGATTCTGACGTGGATGGACTTACCGACATCACTGTCAGCTCTGTCCACACCAGTGACCTTTCATCCTTTGAAGAGGACACCGAGGAGGAAGTTGTGGTGTCTGATAGCACTGAAGAGGGCGAGATTACATCTGATGGTAAAAACCTCTGGGAAGATTCCCATGGGGCGTTACTTGTATATTAGATAACTCTATCTTGAAAGCAGTATGGAATAGTGGCATAGCATGGGACCTTGTAGTGAAACAGTTGGTTTCTAAATCCTAACTCCAGGGTTTCTCTTGGAGCAAACGTGGTAAATTGTGAAACTTTTTAGCAAGCCTGACTTCCTCTATCATTTAGCTCCATGCCTTAGGATTATTATAAAATTGAGATGACATTGTGTATATGGAAGAGCTAGGTATTTGCTTTTAGCTTCATCCTTATTTGGTGCTTGCTGTATTCCAAGCACGTGCTCAGGGCTTTTGGTGAAAACTCCTGTAATCCTCTGCAGAGCCTTACAAAGGAGGTACAGACACGAAGAAACCATAGAGTGTCGTGTCCAGGGTCACAGAGCTAAGGAGCATCAGCCCAAATGCCACACTGGAATTTCCAGTAGCCATCACTCTGCCACATCTGTCAGTCGGCATCAGAAACCAAACTTCCTGACTGCTGTGCAGCGGCCCGTACATAGCGCTTTGTCCCTGGGCTGCTCTCACTTGGATAAGATCTCCAGAGAGATCGCAGAGGAGGAGATGCAAAGCAAGAGCAAAGGGAAGGAGGGCTTAGATATTAATGCCACGGATGCACTTCTCAGTCTTGCCTAGCTTTCGTTGCTTTCTGAGTGGCCGTGAGAGAAATCAAAAGGCAGCGTCAGTAGCTCTGCCCGCTTCCCTCTGTCCTCCCGCAGCCACGGCTGCAGAGTCTGCAGCGGCGAAGCTGCCCAGCCGTGAGGACTACACTCTCTCACCTAAAGAAAATTCTAACTCGAGATGCTTTCTTAGGTCCTTTTCAAGTTGTTTTTTTCTTCCCTGAGCAGGGCATTTTATAAGTCTGGGATCCCAAAGTAAGGAGATGGCTGTTTGAGCATTGCTAAGTAGGTGCGGCACTGTAGCAGAACTGTACAATCGCAAAGTGGGCGATTCAAACCCACCAGCCGCTCTTCGGAAGCCATACACAGGGTCGCTATAAGCCAGAACCAACTTGAAGGCACTCAACAAGTAAAGGAGCACTTGGTTGCTAACGGAAAGGTTTTTGGGTCGAAGCCACCATCCGCCTCTCGAGGAAGATGAGACAGTCTGCTTCAGTAAAGACAGCCTTGGGGCTGTTGGGACTGACTCAGTGTTAGTGGGTTTAGTTGGGGTTTTGAAGTCCTAAGAAAACAGCCTTGTTTATGTAGTTTCCTTCTTTCTTGCTGTATCACTGGGAAATAAACCTGGCTTCCGAGTGTAGAGGGGCTTCAGTGGTTGTTTGCTGTAAGGTAGCTGACTGAGAGATGAGCAGGTGCTCACTAAGATCTGAAGATTAACTTCTTCAGCCGACCAGAGCTAGAGCATTCACATCAAGTCCACCGCCATACCTCTGATAAGGAGACTGTCTCAGTTTTCTTCACCTTCTTCCTGTGTGTTTGAGAACCTCATTGTTAAGAAACAATAATTGTAGGTTATAGCCTCTACAGATGTCAGTTTCGGAATTTTCACACACAGGCATACCCTGCTATCTAAAAGTCGAGCATTCTTTTGAACCCTTTTGTTCCTTAACAGTAACACATAAGCTGACTTGAAAAAGGTTTTAGAGAGTGGAACAAAAAGAGAGTGGAATTTTTCTGTGTGCCTTTTGAAGGCTCTGGTGTAGAGCTCACAGACACAGTTGGAAGCCATGCAACTTGACAGTGAGATGCTGAGTGTCCTTCTGGAAAAGGCACTCGACGTCACCAACGTGCTGCTAAAGGGGTGTGCTGCCTCTCTAATGACCTGCCCCAAAACAAGCAGAGAATGCTAGCTTTGCTTTTGTACCCCCCCCCCTTTTTTTTTTTTT